GTTTCAATTCTATCAAAATTGGGAAACTGGTAAGGGATGTTTTGTTTGTTTCCAATGGGGCCTGAAGGCAGAGGTACCATTAAATTAAGGAAGCTCAAGCTTCCCATCCTCCCATCTGCATGATTCCCTTTGAGGACTTGAGAGGAAGGAATCCTAGTCTTATATGTGTTCATGTTCCTAGCTTTACAAGCTTTGCAGTTGCTTAGGACTTCTCTCTTTTTCTGTTTGATTTCTGTTCCATTTCACTTCCTTTTTAGGGGTGGCATTGGAAGTGGTCATGGCCATTTTCCGGATCCAGCTCCAGGCAAGTTGATTAGGAACACTTTTAGGTTGGGCTTAGTAAAATATAATCGTATGATTCATAGCCATTTGTGTATGATTAATGTTGTTGCTAGGCATCTTAGTATAAGGCTGACTCTCTATGTCTCACAGAATGAAGACGCAGAGCAAGAAGGCTGCACCACAGTGTGGGTGTATCTCATCCCACCTGGCCCTCAAAGTAAGAAAGTTGTAGAAAATAAGAGAGGATATGAGGCATATGTGATAGGAGCTAACTTATGGGAAGTTCTCGCAGGCATTAGATGCATGCAACTCTAAGAGGATTTGGTCTTTATTAATATTTACCCACCAGGTTAATAAAGCATAAAGAATTATAAATGTCCAATAGTTATTTTTACCATTTGAGATGGAAATTGTGCAAAATCAAAAATAGAATCCCATCTTTGATTAAAAAGTGCGTATGTGCATATGTGTGTGAGGTTACATGTTAACTTACCAACAAAACGATACATATTAAAAAGGGAATTTCAAGTAACTGCCTTTGAAGATTGAATTAGCTTTCTGTTCTCTGTACAGCAAATGACACTATAACAGTGCTACTGTATGAAGATGTAAGCAAAAGGAATTTAATCAAAACTTTAAGCAAAACACGTTACTGAGATGTGTCACAGTAGTAATTCACAAACATGTTGCCTTGTCTTTCTATATGTATTTCCTATATAATTAAATACTCTCACATTCAATTTTGCATTAGTTTAGGGCTTCATGTATTTTTATGTAAATGCACAGCCTTCTTTCTCTGCCCCGAGGAACTTATCTGGGGCTCTGAGGAGAGCAAAGTCCACTGTGACCAGGACCTTTTGCAACTGTGGGCTTGGAAACTACTGCAGGGGGAGCTTTCATTTGAAAGCAGGGGGAGCTTTCATTTGAAGGCAGCAAAAGAAAAGGGTTTTTTTTGGTTGTGAAATTATGTTAAAAGAAAAGTTAAAGTGTATCTTCATCTATAATTTTAGCTCACAGATAAGAACTTACATACATCTTTTTTTGGATATATATATCTCCAAAGACTTAGAAAGATCCATAGTAAAATTATGAGACAAGGCAAAACAACAGCAAGATCCAACATCTGAGCCCCTCTAGACACAATCAGATTTCAAGGGAACGTATTCCATGTGTGACCTTTATTCAGAAATTCCTTCTCTGTGGCTATTTTCCCAAGACTTTGAAATTATATCTTTTTGAGGGCTGCTTCTATGGGAATGGCTATATCCTTATTAGGCAAAATTCAATGGCTTTCATTGTATTTTATTTTAGGAAAACCATATGGAAGCTTGACAAAAGCAAAACAAAACTGGGTAAGACTGGAGACAGATGTCAAAATGTCACCATTCTTCTCTTGCCTCTGGTCCTAGTAAAGAATAAGGCTTGATCTTCAATTTAAAGTAGTACTTTGTAGGTTATTGCTTCATAAATTTCATAAAACACACACTTGTGATAGGGAAGAAAACCTGTTTGTTTTAAGTAATCAAGAATTTTTATCATAGCATCACCTTAAATATATATGTATACTGTACCCTAAATTTTTAATGAAACTTTGGCCTGAAGGGTGCCACGAATAAAGCTCATTTCAACATGGCTGTAGAGTTAAGACAAGCCAGAGCTTGAAGCTCTGAGCTTCAAAGGATTGTGTAAGTTTTATGAGTCTTGATTTCTCATCTACATTATCAGGATAGTAGAGTCTTTGTAACACTGAAGATTATGTACAATGTATGTGAACCAGAGGAGTTTGTGTTTATATCCTGTTGCATGAAAACAGCTCTGTGGTGTTTCACTACTTTTGAGAGGATTCCAAAGTGGTCTATTGAAATTTAGTCCGACTAGCCCATATGAAATTTACATGGGAGGCAGGTGCCAAAACTATAGGTCATATGAGTGGGCAGCATATTCAAGGCAGGTGAAAAAGGGGCTAAGGATATAGTTCTTTGGTCTAACACTTCCTTGAGTATGACAGGCCCTGTGTTTCATCCCTAGCACATATATGGAAGGAAGGAAGGAGGGAAGGAAGGAAGGAAGGAAGGAAGGAAGGAGAAAGAAAGAAGAAAGAAAGAAAGAAAGAAAGAAAGAAAGAGAAGGAAAGAAAGAAAGAAAGAAAGAAAGAAAGAAAGAAAGAAAGAAAGAAAGAGAGAGAGAAAAAAATAGTTGAAACAAAGGAAGAAAGTAAAGTCAAGCACAGTTGGTTGCCTAGTCAGGATGCACCAGGCAAAGGCTTCGGGCTGAGCCAAGGATCTAGTCACCCCACAAGGCAGATGTTCAAAGGCAGTGCTGATCTAGAATCAAGCACTTTTTACAACAGAAAGTGTTTGTTGTATGAGTAGGAATCTCTATAGCAATTGGACTTACTATCAATTGTTAGTAACCCTTTTCAACCCAAGATGGCCTTGTTAGACAATATATAGACTACATAGCATGGAGCTTGACACCTGGTGTCTGGTGAACACTCTCAAGCCCACCCATCCCCATCCCCGCCATCACACTCCCAGGAGCAGAGGGAGTCATTACTATGGCTCATCCTGCATGAATCACACCCATTAGTGGGACTCTGTCCATCCCATGGCGACAGGCCAGTACAGCAGGCTGATTACTCAGTGACTTAGAGGAACTCGGATATTTTAGAGAGAAGAAAAAATCATTTAGGGAGTCAGTATCTTCCTCTTGTAAAGAATGCTGAACTGTATTTTGATTTTCCTGGCTACCCCTAAATTACATAGTGTTTCAACTGAATGTTGATTTCTAATACTTTTCTGTTGGCAGATGATTGTGAGATAATTGATATTTTATAACTAAACATTTATATGCTCAAGAGATAAGGTATTTTTTTATCCTGTTAAGCTGCATTTTGAATTTTGATGTGGTACCACAAAAATTAGTCTACTGCTGGAACTTACACTTCATAAAGCCAGGTGGGAAAATTATTAAGTATAGCTTCTCCAAATTTGTCACCTAAAATAACAACTTGCTATCTGTATTTGTCACCCTGAACTTTGTATTGACAGAATCTTTTGTTTCTGAGGTTTTTATTCTGTACGGAGTAACTGATGAGTTATCAGGGTTGTTAATGCATTCCAGAAAAAAAATGATCAAATACATAGACAGTTTTTAAAATACATTCAAAAAGTATTAAGGTATTTTTCCACTTGAAATCTTGATGAGTGAGCTTAAAATATACACAGTAGAGTACTACCTCTGCCATAGATAAAGATAAACTTGAGGTATTTGTAGGAAAGTGGTTGGATTCTGAGATTATATTAAGTGTAATAAATCAGATACACAAGTTTAAAATATTGCATGGCTTCTTCTATATGAAGAATCCAAAGTATGAATAATTTGAGAGAGAGAGAGAGAGAGAGAGAGAGAGAGAGAGAGAGAGAGAGAAACAGGAGAAACAGGAGAGAGCTAGATCTTTTGCAAATGGGAAAGGGTCCAAATGATGGGAGAAGGGACAGAGGGGAGAGGAAGAAGTAAAAGGAATGATGCTTTGTGCATATGTACCAACTCCATGCAAGGAGTGTAAACACTATGTACAGCAAATGTACTAATACAGCAGAGCCACAAGCATCTTTGTTTATATGTTGACTGATGTTTATGTTTTCTGCTCTTCTAAGAGATATCATAACCACTCAGAAGACCTGACATTTTAAATTAACCACAGAGAAAACTTACTCTATTATGTTCCTGCCTTGGTCCACAGAAGAGGTGATTTATAGCAACTCCAGCAAAACAGGGACTGCTCCTATCTGCTATAGTTTGAATATGTTGTGTTCTCTCCAATACTCATATTGAAATATAACTTGCCAGTGTAACAGTACTGAGAGAAGCGGACTTCTGAAAGGCTCGTACCACATGAGACAGCACCTCATGTTTTATCTCTTTTGCATATGCACATTTGCCCTTCTACTACTTTGCCAGGCATGAGTTGAAACATCGTGAAGCTTTTACCAAAAGTTAAGTAAGTCAATACCAGTTCCATGGTCTTGAACTTTCAACCTCTGGAACCATGAGCCAAAATAAACCCTTATTCATTACAATTCACCAGGCCTCAAGTATTTTGTCGCAGCAACAAAAAATATTAAGATGCCATTCAGAAGGCCAGTGGCACCTTGCTTGAAAAATATTGTGAGTCTCAAAGGAAGATCTGTGACTTCATTTGTCTATGCCACATAGGAGCAGGATGGTTACTGATGGACCATCATTTCCCTCTCTCTGTTGAGTGTGTTTTGTCCTTAGCTGGGCTGGCCAGCATCTACGCAGAGAACAGAACTCACCTATCTGACTCATTTTTGAGTCTCAGGGCCAGCACCTTTTATCCACTGAAGAGCTTATCAGAAACCTGCTTTGCAGGTTTGTGGGTACTTTCTTGTCTGTTAATGAAACTGGTATTTCCTCTCTCTTGTAGTCATTGATGCTCAGTCTCCTCACTGTCAGGCAGAACCACGAAGAAGGCTGAATGACAGGAATTCTTTTCAGTGATAATTTTAAATAATAAAAGTACACCTAAAGTTACCATTTTAAATTATTTTCTGAGAAAAAGCTAAAGCCCAAAGCAAGAACTACTCATTCCCCTTTGGAGGACCAGAGCTGATCTTCTTTAAAACTAGCAAACAATATCTGTGTGAGTGCAAAAATCAATCTGTCAGACATGTAAAGGAGAAAAGATCACACCATCCTTTTAAATGCTTCTTTTATTTCATTGGTTGTACATTGGGTGAGTGAGCTGAATATTACAACCGAAACATAGAATTGATACAAATTAGACTCCTGTTTACACTGTAAGATAATGAATGAGGGAATTCTTTAAGATTTAGTAGAAATGTTACCAGTGGTATATGGCTGAAAGAATGTTTCTGTGAAGTGCTGTTATATCCTGAAAACCAAGAGTGAAATGTAGTTCCCATACAAGTGGAGAGTTAGTCTCTTAACTACAGTATTTGTTGAATTGATATCTTCATGTCTTGGATATTGGTGATTTTGGTTTTGTAATTAAACAAAGCATTTAAGATTTATTCATCACAGTCAGACTTCTGAATATAAACAAACTTTTGGCAAATAATATTTATACAGAAAAATAGTTTTAGATCCTCTCAAATCCCAGAATTATTCTATAAAATTACATTATAAATAAATAAAAAGCAAAATCTGTTGTACATATATTTGTACATCTATGCATTTGCCTTGCCTCCTCCTTACTGTAAATGGCATATTTACGATTCTTTGCATATTATAATCACAATTCTGGAAAATGGATACCATAGTAAAAAATACAGTTTTCTATATTTGCTTGGGGATAGAGGTGATGTTTTTGATGCTCCATTATTAAAGGGCTGAAAATAGTCGTGTGCTAATAATTTTTAAAATCAAAATCATGAAAGAAAAAAAGACAATGTTATAATAATTAATCTACAAAAATATATCAGTGATTCCCATAATTTACCTTTTGGTAATGTATACTATGTTTTCAATGAGTTTAAATGAATCAACAAAGAAATAAAAAGAAAAAAGAAAACAAGTTTGAATGTTTTAGGTAAGTTGTAGCATAACTACATTGTTATAGTTGAGAAAATTACAAATATCAATAATACACAAAGATGAAACTACCAAAGTAATACAAGTTAGATACAAAACTTTCCACAAATTAAAACAAATGCAACGATACAAGCACTATGTAAGATTACACTTAGAATGTGATTCTCTTTTGATAGGGCTATCAGATCTACAATATAAGATAAATAGATAGTAATTAGACTTTGACCAACATGAATTAAAATGCAGATTTCTTTCTTCTTAAACAAAAAAATGATATGGTTGGTGCATCTAGTTTTCATAACAGGCGATGATGCCAAAATTTAAAATATTTTATATTCAATCTCAAAAGTCAAAATACTTCAATCACTAAAATGTTCACAAAGAAAATGGATGTTTTAAACATTTACATATAATATCCATTTATAACAGCTGTTTTGTTTCTTAAACAATAATTTAAAAACTATGTAGGTACTGTATAGGCTATGTGCAACATATAAAATGTGAAATATGAAATATTTGGTACGATAGTGCTTAAAATAAACTTTAAAACAAACTTTCTGAACAAAATTTAATTGTATCGCTATTACCTTGAAGATCAACCAAGTATTTAAAAAAGTAAACAACATTAAAATATGTTTCATCCATATATAGTATATATATGTATGTGTATATATAATATGTATGTACTTGTATTAAAGTTTTTTATACTTTTGAGACATAAAATATGCTTTAAGGTGAAAGAATTAAAAGAACTATTTTTCCATGCTGTAGTTAGTTACAACCCTTTAATCCAACTTTTGAAATGCAAAACTGTAATGGATTTTTTAAAAAGTGAAACTATCTACTTTTTGTTTACATAGTAATTTAGATTAAAGTCACAATCGAATTTTCAGTGACTGAACTCAAACTTACTTAAATTAGAATATTATACAGATCTCCTCACCTACAGCTTCCTTGTTTGACTAGGGTTTTAGTTTAGAAGAGTTATTCTGTAACAGGCAACCGGATGGTGAGTTTGAAAGACTAATCCCTTAGATTAGACTATTGGCGTGGGCCTCTCATTCTTGTCAAGCTGGATGAAGTCTGGCAAAATCTAGGCACTTCTACAAAGTCTCTCTTATAAAACAACTTTAAAAATATACTTGTAAAATAATACCTTCAAGACTTTGTTGGGTGGGGTATGAATCTCATACCGTGCAAAGTTTCTTTTTCAATCTATTTAATGTTATTCGAGAATCCCATGATTCAATGCGGCATCTCCAGGCAAACCCAATACCACACTTTGATGTGTCCCCTGTACTTGTGCTTGGGCTTCCATTCAGAGTTTAGACCTGCAGGGCAGGTATCTATCTGTTTTACTTCACTTCTCGTCTTTGCTGCAGCGTTCATCGTTTTGAGAAGTGAAACATACCCTTAGATCCAGTGAGTACATGAAATGACAGTGATTGGAGTTAGAATCGAACCTGCCCTTGGAATAGGTTGAACTAATGCTAATTATTTATTGCTAAATTTGAAGTATTCTGAGTCGAAATGAGTACATTTTCTGGACTTTCCTGCATCAGCTATAGTTATGGAGATAAGACAATATTCCTAGGACAGAAACTATGTTTAGAAACCCTTTAAAAGTAAACTTTATCCTTTATGTCTTTAAACATCACAGCTGGTCTCAGGTAGTTAACTATCTTAGGTTGGAATATACTAAGCATACCATATTTAATACTCATATATGATATAGCAGCACTAGCTTCTTAGAGTTGTGGTCTGTCCAGAAGAACTACATCTTTATTTAGCATGCAGTTTGTGGCAATTCTATTGAGGAGGAAACAGGATAGTATGTACAGTAACAATGTTTAGTTATTCTCAATGCAGATTCTTGACATTCCATTCCATTTCTGCTGATTACTTCAGAATTATCTGTTAAAAAAAAAGACAAGCATGGTTTAGGTCTCTTTCTGAGAGGGAAAGAAATGAATTTAAGTTTTACTCTTAGAAAACAGACATTTGAAAATAGGAACTCTTTTTAATTTGCTATACTTCTGATGTCATTAAAATTTTGCACAATCCCCACCCTTCATTCCGAAGTTACTTTCTACTTAGCCACTTCTGCTATGTGGCCACTGTGAAGAGCCCTGGTCAAGCACACAGCGCCTGCTGCAAGTCTGTGACGGCACCTCCGAGGGCATGCCCTCTGCTTAGACCTCGGTCTCTTTTTGGCATTTTGCTGTATTTCTCTTTGTTACATATTATTGTGCAATTAATATTTGCTATGGAGATCAGAGAGTCTAAGAAGAGGATACACTGGTACTTAAGGAGTTGTTTGTAAGCCTAAATATAAGCAGCATAAAATTTATAGGAAATTAAATACTATTTATTAACCTATATTATTCAAAAGACATATTCCTATCAAAGGTAATTCTGTTCTGAAGATAGAACAGCAACTAGCTTGAAATGGCAGGTTAAGAATACTTAAATGTCACATATTAAAGAGAAAAAAGGGGTCAGAACATAATCAAGCAGTTAAAATAGTCTTAAAAATTCCAAAAGAAAAGGTAAAGCACAGAGAAGGCTAAATTACCAAACGCGGGTTGGGATCCTGCAGTTCCATTTCAAGTTCATGTGCAACTCCTTGCCTTTCTGCAGGGCAGGGAGTGTGGCCTGTGTGGTCTGGATTATTCAAAGCTAAGCTTTGAACATATTCTAACACAAATATTTATTCTTTAGGCAATACTTCGTCTAAATTTTGTGTAATTAATGAGATGTTTATTTGTTAGCATCTGAGCATCTTTGCTGTGGAATAACTGATAATTTTTTATAATAAGGATAAACAAATATACATACTGGAATTTTTCAATTTCCAGTAAAAACTTCATTTCTACAATAACTTATTATCACATTATGTCAGAATGTATACAGGTGAATGTTTTCCTCTTTGAGTAAATGCCTTGTGGTTTATAAATAACATTTTTTAGCACACTGAAATGGTTTATCTCACAAAATAGATATGCATATTCTTTATTTTATTGCAACAGACAGATATGTATAGAATCGATAAAACAGAGCAAGATCTTAAATATTTGTATTAAATGGAAGCTGAAAACTTCACATATTAAGATCATTCTTAATTTAAAATTGAGATAAATAACATTTCTTATTTTATATAATAATAAATATGAACAAAAATAAGATATAATGATTTTATATGCAAATATTATCTCGGCCTTTAGTATTTGAATACAATTACCATAGTATCTTTGAAGAGTACATAAATGAGATGATGATGTTCTCTAATTGGTCAGCTCATAATTTCATTTATAGATTTAGATATTTTATATTTAAATAGGAATTTTTCTATTTCATTCTTGGGCTTCAATACTATCTGTAAATTTTCCAAACAAGAATGTTTCTTAAGAGTTCCAGTCATTTCCTGGTTTTGTGTTTTATTTTAGCAAGAGTCTCTAACATATTTATGGAAAACCTGACATACAATCCTATTTTGAAATATATTTATGCTCTTGATTACTGATTGAAATCAAAATGCCGTATAGAATGAAATTCCCAACCACCTGGAAAGGAATGTATTCTACAGGAAGCTTGGCAATGCACAAATCAGAAGGGGTGAATTTGCATTACAGAAATTAGTTACAACAGTGCTTTGAACTTGTACTTGACAAAGAGACATGTATGACCATCGAGGTTTAATTGGACTATAAATCAGTTTCAGAGTTCACTAAAAGCATTAACTAGGCTCCCCCAGCATGCTTTCTCCTTTTCCCCGCCTACCCGTGGGCCATTATATGGAAAAGATGGAAATAAAAACGAGCTCTGAGGCTACTGAGTTCACAGCTGTGCCTGCTGCCTGGCGTGCAGGCCAGAAAACTGATTACTCGGGGCTGTGTCTTCGGCTATCTTATGGAGTACATGTGTGGTACAAAGAAGTGAATGACACTGCAGACAGCTGAAGTTACTCGAGAGGCTCAGGGGATCTGACCTCAGAAATCAGAAAGTGTCAGCATTTCTCCTTAGGAATTTTGTCTTCTGGTACAGCAATTTTCTTGAAAATATCATTTGATATTTTTTTCTGACAACAATACCTTGCTGGTACAGTGTAAATTAAATGGACTCTGGGGTTTAACATACACCCTGCAAAGATACTCAGAATAGGGTTCCAGATGAAGTGCAATTGCCAACTGATGCCTCTTGTTTAACTATTCCCCCTTTTTTGCTTCTGAGGTGAAGAGTCATATTTGGCTTTTCTTTTATTCAGATTATATTTCTGATTGGCACTAAAAAATGAAAAATAAGATGAATATGTTTAATTTGTCTGTTTTCCTGGTTGTTGGTTTTATTTGAATTGTAATATTCCCTTGATTTTTAGTAGACTCCAAGAATTTCAATCTATGCCTTACAAGCTGCCTATGTATTCTAGTCTTATTTTGCAGTATGGACAAGATGGCACCAACAGCGTTAACTACTCGGCATAAGCCAGATGTTCATTGCTCTGAGCATCAGACCCTCTCCCTGGCAGGAAAGTGACAGTCTGAGACCAGGAGAGGCAGTGCCTCCCAAGAGCTTGTCTGGCTGTGTTTTGGAGCCAGCTGATGAGTGCAGGCAGAAGAACTCCTGTGAGTTTTGAGTGAGGGAAAGAAGGTCTGGAGAAAACAGCCTGGGGCACTAGATGAGAGCTGTGGGGAGGTGGGGACCTACCACGGGGAGGAGCTGCAGGGGTAGAATTGCTGAGAGCCCTGAAAGACTGCTGGCATCCTCTGGCATCTTCCCCTTGGTGGCCAACCACATCCTGCCCAGGCCTCCCAATGGATGTCACAATGTGTCTGCTTACAGCAACAGAACACCCCACCCAACCGCAGCACCTGAAGCTGCTTCAGCATCAGCTTCTGAGAAACCATGGCAAGCTGTGATGGCAGGAGAGAAGCCACATGCATTGGACAAGATCCATTCTCTTTATCTCCCCAATGGATGATTCTCTTAAGTGAGTAGTATTTTGTACAGCAAAGATTCATGGCAGGAGAGAAAAGTTAGATTTTTAAATAAGCATCTTGCCAATCTTGTCTGGTAAGTCAAAATTCTAAACCGAAAGCATTATTTTCAATTCCATTTCCATTAAATGGAGAACACAAAAAAGTGAGAATAGCTGATGCCCACGAAATCCATAATTCTATTTTTAAAAGAGAGACACATTTGATCTCAAAGCATGAGTACTTTTATAAATCTTTAGTGGTCCCTTTAGTTGCAACAAGAGTATTTATAATGCTAAACTATCAGTTGGTTGTTAGAAGCTACTGCGGATGAAGAAATCATAGCGAATTAAACTGTCCAAGTGACTGGCTTTCAGAGTCTGCTGATTCTGCTACATGTGCGCATCTCTTATGTTACCACCATATGAACTAAGTCCATGATTATGCTCAGATTTACTTCTTAAAAATAGAGGGTTCCAAAGAATCCTCAAGTGGATTATTTCCTACCAAATGTATTACCAGCCGTCACTTAATAATTCCTGTATCTGCACTGAAAGATCTGGCTCATAAGTCAATGGAAGCTTAGTAAAAAGTAGACGAGGCTCAGTTCTGTCTGAATTCTACTGGGGCCTGGCAGAAATGACAGTGTGTGAGTGGGGCAGGAAGGGAGGCTGGGAGCAGGCCCTCGCTTCGAGCAGCTGGAGCTGCCCAAACCTGGGATCTATTTTCTCAAAGAAGCTGCAAATTTATACTAGGAAAACAACTCGTACATATCTTTGGACTAAATTTAGTGTGGGCACCTGATCCGTGAATGCATTGGCCTCAGTTGGAGGAGGATGCAGTTCTGGATAAGTGCTTCCTGAGCTGGGCATTGGCACGAGGTGTAGCACCATTAGTGGAGGCAGCAGTGTAACAGTGAGCGTGGTGAGGACAGGAGGTTGGACAGCATTAACCCTGTGCCTTTCCGACCTGGGGCCTTCCCTCCAAGAAACAGGCACAGGGTGCCTGACCAACAGATACCTTCAGTGTAGAAAGAAAATGTCCCTCTCGCCTGAGTAATGAGCTATGAAATATACATGTTGTCCTGTCTCTTGTCTAGCGATGATGATTCAGGCTGAGCTATCCATCACTTGAAAAAGAACTTATCAGGGTGTGACAGTCCCTTGATTTAAAGCAAAACGGCCTGCACAGAAAATGAGACACTGAGCTTGAACTTGTGGTATCATGAACTCAGCAGCTGACCCAGAAGCTACGCATAAAGGAGAGCGCAAGGAAGACTAAGTACTGAGGATCTGGTTATCGAGGACAAAGCTTCCCGGGCCTTCTACCCTGTGGCTGATCTCTGAGCAGAAGACATGCTTTTAAAATTGTGAGCTTCCAGCTAACTCTTAGAAATGTTTATACTTCTTATAGGAGAGCTCTCACTGCAAAAAAATCAGGGATGCCAGATGAGCTATCTTTTAAAATGATAGCTCTATATTAAATTTACCAAGAACATTTCTGCTTTGCTTCACCAATAGGGAAAACATTTTCATAGCAACGATTCCAATGCATCAAAACCATGAAACAGTTAGAAAAGAAGAATAAGGGATGTTTTAGTTAGGCCCCCCGTGACTAGCCATCAAATGCTGTCTTTGTAGTGCTGAATTTGAAGAGGTAGGTAAGATATACTTTATAAAATATTTACTTGGCCTTGCTGAAATATGAAGGTGTCTCAGTGGACCCATCACTAGCACCAAAGTTCAAATGGGGATTTCCACACAGGGTCTGCGCATTCGTGGAGCCCACAGCAAAACGGAGCTTTGTAGGGGCAGGCTAGGAATGTGTCACTCATTCTTATACTCCTGCTGTCCACAGCGGGGCTGGGCACACCGGACACATTTACAGTTGTTCGTGCATGGATAGAAGATGAATGAATAGGAAATCACTGAGGACACAATG